AAGAAAGAGCATTGTTTTGAATAGTTCATAACATCAGATTGAAATGAAACATTTTTTAAAAAATAGAAGTAATATGACCTTATTGCATAACATTAAATAGATCATGTTTTCTCATTACTGTCTGTTTTAGAAAATGTCAGGAAACTGTTCTCTGGGTTAGTAGCAAAGTATGTTAAAATCAGGATGATAAATTATACAATATTTGAAATTATTTAAACATCATACCATTATTATTATTATTATTACTATTATTATTATACCAGTGGCATATGTCTTTCTATTAATCTAAATTTAAATTTTAATATTTCTACTGAACTATATAATTCACAATTATTCACAAAAAAATGAATAGAAATTATCTAAGGCATGCAAGTAAATATATTAAGCTAAGTATAGTTATATTTACTACAATATAATTTTATAATGATTTTATTTTGCAGAATTGTCTTTTGACATTTAATGAAAATTTAAGTTCTGTAATTTTAGTTGGTGTATAATGCTGTTTTTTTTTTAACAGTAACGACAAACGACAATGTTTGTCATTACTGTTATACCTTACTAGAATGAAAAGTGCTAGATTATATTCAAATTCAAAAGGGACCCAATAAAGTTGGTATTTTAGGGTTATTCCAGCCTTTTTTAGATGCCATTAACTATTTATTTATCAAAGAATTAGCTAATTTAGAAACTTATAATCTTTAGGTTACAGGATAGTCATAATTAAAATACTCTATTCAATGTTATCTGGCGCAACATGTAGCAGTGCAAACAATCAAATTTTGTATGCTGACATTTCTGAACATGTGGAAGAATTTCCTTAGGAAGAAAATCTAGTTCAAAAATTCACCATTATGGTGTTATGGCTCTGCAAGTGGCAAAAAACTTTGGTGCAATTTCTTAAGGTATCTTAACTCTTGAAGCACATTTACAGCATTGGCAGTCTATTAAACAGCATCACAAAAAAAAGGAGCCCTCAGGTGTTATATGAATTGCTGCTGATTTATAGTAATATGAATGGTATTTCAAATGCTATGGGCAGTTTTATATCCAGAAATTGACCATAGCATATATGCATTATTCATATGTTATATATTTTTTTTTCTTTTGCACTTCATCACAAATACCATAATGGTGAGTTTTGGAATTAAGTTTTTTCCCATTCCTAGAAATGTGGAAATCACTTCCACATTTCTAGAAATGTCAGCAAAACAAATTTAGCTGAGTTTGAACTGCTAAATGTCTCTCCAGACAACAATGAATAGGAGTACTTTAATTACAATCACTGGTACTTATGAAAGTAAAACAATATTCATTTTATAAGTTACTCCACAACAGAACTGGATTTCCACTCAAATAATACCAAAGTAATTCAAGTAATCCTTTAAATCTGAATGATTTTCAGATGTGTCCAACATATTTTCCTAATGTTCAAATTAAACTCTTATCCAAATTGATAAGATTCGAGAAAAAATCATTTAACCTTGGCACAGGAAGTGCTATATCATATTTAAATATACAATATAATTTTATAATGATTTTATTTTGTATACAATTTTTCATTTTCAGGTCAACCTCACTATTATGCAAATAAAATTCTCAGGTCATCTGAGAATTTTATTTGCATAATAGTCATATTTCAAAATCATTACTATGAGAGAAAATTAGAATTATAAGTTGTAAAGAATAAATATATATTTTTCACTTATAACTGTGTTACTAATTATTACAAATTATTGTGTTAACAGGTATTAAATAAAAGTTTATGTTGCTTAATAGAAAACAAAAAAAAATTACATAATCAAAAAATTATTTCTGACTCAGCTTGTCAGTCATTCTATAAATAAATTTCTATCTACTCCACTTTTAACTAAAGTAAACTGAAGAAAACCTGCAGAATTATGCTNATTGCTTCATTGTTTCTTGAGAATTGTAAATATGGAATTACCAATTTTTGACTACTCATTGCCATAAAAATTAGTGCACTGTGAAACTTGTCATGCAGATAAGTCTTAAGCAGATATAGAAATGATTAAGAGTTATAGCTTGCTTGTTGTGTAATGCCAGCAGAGGGTGTTAAAATACATCCTCCTTGATCTATGAAAAAGCATGCAAAGCATCCTGACTGTAGTTCACCTGTCGCAGAGGGACACTGTATCACTAGAAATGCCTTTATGTTGCAATCTAAGACCCTAAGAATAAGTCAAGATTGAGAGGGAAAGGATCATAAGGTTGAGAGAAGCCTGATAGTCGTCTTGCCAAATAGCCCACCACCTAGGCTGTTCTGACAACACTGAGGTGTTGGAACCAGTGGGTGAGAAAGAGCTCATAAACATGGCACCCAGGCTCAGGACACACTCAGCAGATCACTAGCCAAGAGGACCACTTTGTCTTCCAAAAAGCATGCACACACGGGACATTCCAATTTTCAACTCTGACTCAGCGCTGATCTCAACATTCGTTAAAATTTGTTCCTTTTTTCAACATTGAGGTAGCGCTGACTCAACACACTCAGCACTCAACAGATATGTTGACTGCTACTTTCCATTGAATTGTGGGTAATTGGTAAGACATTTGAATGGAATCCATCTTGCTGAGAATGGAATTATGGGAACTAAGCACTTCGTACTCTAGTTGGAACGTCGTTGATGACGTTCCAACCCGACAGCCATCATTGTCCACCATCTGGACACAGGTGGCACCACCATTACAAACCATACCATTTTGAGGCACCTGGGTGAGGAACATTTGGTATTGCAGCAGCCATTATGTGGGCTCCCATTGACACCACTCACCATTGCCTCCATTTGGAGTGGTATTGATCCCAATGGGATTGGACCACAATGGAATGAAACAAAGTCATCTACAGTGACAAATCCATCATCAGTGTGGGCACTGATGATGGATTTGTCACTGAAGGTCTTGTGATAAAAGCCTCAGTCCTGCTTAAACTTTGTAGCAACACACTGTTCCACAACTGGTGTGATGGTGTGGGGTGCCATCACATACAACAGCCAGACTCCTCTAGTAGTGATCCAAGGGACCATGACAGCCCTGTGGTGTTAGTGATATCCTGCAGCCACATCTGTTGCCTCTCTATGGCAGAACTCCGAAGACCCATTTTCCAACGGGATAATGCTCCGTTGCTATGACACACAGCAACGGTGTCATAGGACTGCCTGGGATCACCTGGGATACCAAGTTGTAAGGCCTAGGAGTTTGGCCAAACTAGAGGACCGCTTGCAGTAACTGTGGACTGAAATGCCACAGGACACAATACTGCACCTGTATGCTTCCATGCCCACCTGTATCACATCATGTTTCTGCACAATACAAAAGACCCTCCTTTCTTTTGTAGTTTTTCCTGCAATAAATGATTCTTTTGCTTTCATTTTGTAATCACTTAACTTATATCACCATTACACTCACACATACAATTTTGTTCAATTCTGACAACTTCTGGGTGCAACGAGTGTATATTGATACTAATGCTTCACATAATAAAAAGTATATGAATGATGTTCTGTAGCCTCAAAGGTTGAGAACAATTGGTCTAAATGCTCTATTATCAATTTTTAACATTACAGTAGAGCGTCGTTTATCCGAAAGAATTCCAGTCGGCAAATTTAAATTTTCGCTAGTGCTGTGGCGCTGCAATCTTTGGCTTTATCTTGGGCTACTCCAATATTTTTTTGTTGATGTGTGTGTTTTAGCTGGCAGCACTAGCACTTTTGTGTGGTGTTTTTCTGAGGACTGTGTGTCGTGCTGAATCGAATGTTTTTGATACTAGATTAACTTCTAAAGTATAATTTTTTTTTGTTTTTATATTTTTCAATATATTTATTTTGTTTGTAAAAAATAAAGAAATAATTTTTAATGATACAATAGCCACGATTATTATTTTAAAAAGTTTACATTAGGCTTAACATCAATGAAAATTCAACAGGAAGCGACACGAAACGGAGAAAAATTTCAACATGGGATAGGTTAATATATTTTTTCGTACATAATCGGTTATCTGAAAAATAAGTTATTCGAACAACCCCAGTCCCCAATTGATTCGGATAAACAACGCTCTTCTGTATTTTCCATTTTTGTATGCAACTATACTGTTGTCAAATCTTTAATAAACTATTTTAATTTTATTTCTTCATTCTGCCTGAACAAATATAAATGTAAAGTTAAAATTTCAGCCTAATTCTTAATGACTTAATTCATGAATTAATTTAATTCCCAATGATTGCTAATTTCACTATATGCAGTATATTTGCAGAACTATTTAATTGTATATACATAAGAATTGAGTTAACATCAATTTGACTTTTTAAAATAAATATATGTTATTAAAGGAAACAAATATTAAAATTTATGTTTTATCTTCCACCTGGTAAAAATGGGTAAGATCGGCTATAATCTAATAATCTTAATTTTCGCCTGAGCAGTTCAGGGCTCATCTGCTAGTGTTTAAATATTATACAGGATTCATATAGTAGTGCTATTTACAAAATAATTCATCTAAATTTATTTATTTTTTAGATTAAAAACATTCCGTTCTTTGTTATTTAAACTCTTCACTAAGGAGCACAAACAATCGGTTGCAGTATCAGCAGTTACTGATTTTGTCACAAAAGAATCGCCAGAAGAATTGTTTACTCCTGAAGAAATAATGGCTGCACTCAATATGATGATGGACAGTAATCAAGTTATGGTTGCTGAAAATACAGTCTTCCTCATTTAATGCTATGTATAAAGTATTAATTTCATATAAGCGCTTTATATTTTCTTACTACTTTTTGTAATTTTTTTAAAATTAAAAAAAATTTATAAGTATTATTTTGCATTGTTAATTTTCTCTTAGAATAAAAATGAACACAAAAGCTGTCAAATTCAAATAATTATATGTTTTTATTGCTGTATTTTTTCTATATTTTAAGTGCATATTATTAAAATACTATTAACATTATAAATTGAATTATTTTTATTACTTATATTTCTGAGAATATTTGTAAATTCTAGCCTCAGAAAAAAATACAGTATTTTAATAATATGCACTTGAAAATTTGATATATTGCAATGATTTTTATTTCACAATAAAAATAAAAGTACACCATTTATGAATCAGTTTCTTTTATTGGATTATCCAATTTGCGCGATCCTTCCCATTTGATAGATAAATAGTCGACTCTTCCAGATGGTTTTACAGTTGCCAACACTGCTGTTTTCTTTACATGGGTTCCTAGTCTACTAAGTGCAATTAACCTAAGTGGTGAAAAAGTTTCCTCATACTGCACACATACAATTATATACAAGGCGTGGTATAGTGTTGGATTTCCTGTCATAAAATAAAAGTAGCATTAGTATTTGGAACATGTTCCCTTTAAAATGTAGGGTGGCAAGAACTGATTTACTATGAATGCCCTATTCTAAGCCATTTGTAGAATAAAATACAAACCTGCATAAGCCAAAAAATCACCTCCAAATTTGATTCCTGGTGTAATATAATATCCTTTTTCCCACAAATTGCAAAATACAGCATATTGAAGCTTTTCTTTATCACTATTCATAAGCTGCCAATCATTTTTACAAACTTCCATATTTTTCCAAGGACATTCTAATAATACAAAATTTATAATTTTTTGTTAAGTATAACTGATCTTACAATATTTAAATTATTTAAAGAATTCTTTTATTCAAGTTATAAGATGATGAAAAGTAAAAACAATGAAGGAAACAAAAAATTTTGAAATTCCTGACATTAATACATCTATCTGGTTTATTTATTTATAGATTTCATATAACTCAGCAAATGTACCATGAATATTCCTAATTTTTTTGATTAAAATCATATTTTTTTCTATCCACGATTGGATAAATTTGCCAAGTTCTGTGAAATCTAAAAATGTTTGAAATACATAAAAACGGAAATGTATTTGCTTTAATGGAATTTAAAATCCTCATGTTTTAGCCAAACCTGCTTCAGTATACATGTTATATTCCTAAAATTAGTAATTTTAATTTATTTTTCAGTGTTTTTTTAAATTTTATTTTATTTTGTGTACAAAGTTAACAAGACAACAAACTAATTTTACTCCAATTTCAATGATTTCTGAATAATTCCTAATGTCAATAATTCCTAATGCTGATTTTCAGTGATTTATGAATAATTCCTAATGTCAATAATTCCTAATGCTGTTCACAATTAGGAATTATTGACATTAGGAACAGCATTAGGAATTATGACAGTGACCAGTGACTCCCTGTCAAGTAAAAAAGTAACTGACTATATATGTGGGAATCAGAATTGCTGATTTTCAAGGGTCGATTTCTCCATCCCCAAACACCTGAAGTAATTCGGAATATCTGGTTTGAAAGAAAATTGTTTTCTTAGGTAGTGTGCAAATTTCAAGATTTTCTGTAATGTCGTTGCCAAAATATAAGCAATTCAAAAGCACAAAAACTGCCAAAAAAGCTGAATTTTCTTCTTCATCTGGCACTGCAGATGCTCACAGAGAAAAAACTACTGGGTCTAGAAATCTCAAATTTTAAATTTAAGCCTTTCTTATTATTGGTTAGGTGCTAGTCAAACTTCCTGGTCAATAGGTCAAAGTTCATGGGATTTCCCATAGAGCTAATTCAGTTTTATGGCTTAATTTTATGCTTATAAGAATAAAATTGCATGGAAACCAAATGAATTTTATTCAAAATGTTACTCAGAATTACAAAAGCTCAAATTTATGTGATTTAAAACTTTTTATAACAATCTTTCTAAATGGTGTATTGAAAGCGTCAGTCAACACCAACAAAATTACATGTTATTGTTTTATGTCTTGATGTAGTAATACAATTATTAAACAAAAACATCTGAGATGTAAAAATTTATGACAATTTAGACATGAGTCAAAATTTTTCTTATGAGTTTTTCTTTGGTAAAGATAAGCTTGGTGATTGGAAGTGGTACACACAAGATTTTTATCTGTATTATTGTTTTCTACATATTGCCTCCAAGTGCCAAGCTTATCTTTACCAAAAAAACTCCAAATAAAAATTTTGACCACTCTAAATCATCATAAATTTTTACTTGGTGTAATTTTTTTACATCTCAGATGTTTTCATTTGGATAAAAAGGTATGTAAAGTAATCTTACCCAAATCCAATATTACCTATAATTGTATTAATTAAAAACTAATTTCTGTAAAAATTTAAAAATAGAAATATCAACAATGGCTGATAGATTATTGAACTGCAATTTGAAAAAATTATAGACCTATAAATTCCCATTTGCTGTTTATCTGTCCTTCATCTCAAGAACAATGTTAGATAGACAAAAGTCAAGACCAGATATGGAAAGCTTAGGGACAGTTAGTCCCAATTAACTATATACAAACTTCCAGTCTTAACTGGAAATCATGTGATTTCAATTTAAAAATTTTCCCCAGAACAGAATTACATAGATGACCAGCATGACACTGTTATTATCAGGAAAAGTATGATATACAGGGACAAGACACTACCAATTTGAGATCAATAGCATATATTTTAAATCAAATAAATCAAAACTTGGAGTCCAGTATTGTGATGTCACAATAATTTTTGCTCATTCCTTTTACATAATCATTTCAAAATTTTAGCAGTTAGAATCAATTCAAAGCAAAATTTACAAATGAGATTTTTTCCAAATTTCACTTAAACTTTAAAAATAAACCAAAAATATACTGTACAACAGGGGTGGCCAACAAGTCAATCACGAAGCCAATTTTGGTCAATCACTTGTGATGTCTTGACTTAATGTGTTACACTTGAAATCGAATGCAATGCGTGAACGTACATGCAAATGCAACTGTAGTGATATTGGACCTCCACGTCCTCCAACAGATGCAGCTTTGTTGGTCCATGTGCAATCCATTTGCATACAGTTGTAAAAGGAAAACCAGAAATGTCGACAAAGGTGTCACCCTTTGTCTACATTTCTTATTTCCCTTTTACCGAAAAAACAAAAAAAAAAGAAAAGCTGAAAGAGGGACAGAGAGAGTAGGTCAGGACAAGAGGAAGGGAGAGAGAGGAAAGGTGAAGTGGTGGTCTCCAAAACTCACAACGTTGAGTTTCAATTTTTCTTCTGTTTAAAATGTAAGTACCTTTTCTTCATGTTTTAAATTAAATTGTGGCTTTTCTTACCTATCTAAACATAGCATATATTTCATACCCCCCTCGCCACTTAGACTATGCCTACGACAACAAGTCAATTGCAACACATTTTTAAGATAAAAAGTAGATCTTATGTATACAAAAGTTGGCCACCCCTGCTGTACAAGGCAATTTGTTTCTATTTATTTTATTTCCAGTTGTAGTATTTTATTCTCATGAATCTGAAATTGATATTTTTACTTTCTCAAGAGAACCAGAGTTACAAAAATAAAAAGCAGTATCATACAATTCATCCATCTTAGGTAGTATTTAAAACTGTCAGTTATAATTAGGAAAGAGAAAATAAATCATTATTGGTGACAAGATTCTTCTTTATAAGGTAGGAAAAATAGCTTTATTAATTTTCCTTTATTATATTTAAATACACAATTCCATTTAAAAACTGTAAATATGAAAATATTTTATAAAAGATTTTTGGAATAAATTACACATTTTAAATTAATTTTATAGTCTTTTGAAGTAGTTTTTGCTTTTACATTTCCAGGGTATTCTTTCATTTTGTGAAATGAAAGAATATCCTGGAAGAGAATAAATTAGCTCTGTTATCAATATCATTTTCTTATTTTTAGTCCTGAAATCTAGAAGTGATTTCAGGACTGATTGTGAAACACTGTAAATATTGAAATTTTTATATCCACAAGAAAATACTCATTTTTGTAAATAACCTTTATTTACCTGTATCTCAATATTATAAAGTATGTGATTATAATGCATACAGTATTAATCACAAAAATGAATTGCATGCAAAGTGTGACAATTTAATTCCTGGAATAGCCATGTGGTGTTGCCTGTGACATAATTATATTGAAGTGACATGCACATTCATGTTCGAACATGTTTGAACTAATACATACATACATTTCAAGCTGATAGAGCTAGTTGTTAATTAGCTAATGGGAAGGTAATAGCTATCTGTATGTACTCTTCGGCATAAAAACGAGTGACTAAAATTTAAAGCAACATATTAATATTAAATTTTGTGCAAAAATTGGCAAATGTGCTGCTGAGAAATTGCAACTGTTGCAAGTGGCATATGGTGAAGATGCCAGTGTGTTCGAATGGCATAAGATTCAAAGCTGGGTGAAATGTGAGAAGAGACCCAAGAAGCACAGCCAAAAACAACAATGGTGGTTGTTAATATTAACAGAGTGCAAGATTTAGATTTAGAACACTACTACTTAGAAGTATTGCAGAGATTACAAGATTCTGTTTGAAGAAAAAGTCCTGAACTGTGACCCAACAAGTGGATCATTCATCATGATAATGTGCCAAGTCACAGTGAGACATTTTCTGGGCAAAAAAAAAAAAAAAGCAATTATCCAATTAGATCATCCTGCCTATTCATCACCTGAATTAGCTCCCTGTGATTTCTAGCTATTTTAAAAATTAAAAGAGCACTGAAAGATTTTCTAAATATAACTGATATTCGACAGAACGTGAGATGGCTGCTCAACAGTATTCCAGAAAATGAGTTCCAGGCTTGCTTCCAGAAATGGGAATGCCATTTAAGTCAATGTATAGATGCACAAAGAGAGTGACAGTAGCCACTAGTGTACAGTTCTGCATGTACGTGGTGCATTCAAGTTATAACACCTCTAATTTTTTTCTCACAAACTAATCATACAAAAACTGTGAAACTTGTGTTACTTCTTGACATAATCTCCCTGCAGCCATACACATTTTTCACAACATCAACACCATGATTCCATGGCCACTGTGAATGCTTCTTTAGGAGTCTGATTTGACCACTGGAAAATTGCTGATGCAGTAGGGGCATGGCTAGTGAATGTGCAAGCACGGAGAGTGTCTTTCATCATTGGAAACAGCCAAAAGTCACTAGGAACCAGATCAGGTGAGTAGGGAGCATGAGAAATCACTTCAAAGTTGTTGTCACAAAGAAACTGAAGCGTCACGTTTACCTGATGTGCTGGTCTTTTCAGGTCTTCATGCAGGATTGTGTGCACAGATCCCACAGAAATGTCAACTTTATAGGCGATGTGTTCCACACTCATTTGGCGATCCTCCAAAACAACTTTCTCCACTTGCTCGATTATGTCATCAGACCAGCTGGTGCGAGGCCAAGATTGTCTTGATTTGTTGTCACACAATGTTCTGCCTTCTTTGAACTGTTGCACCCACGAATGCACATTAGATACATCTATGACACCATCACCATATGTTTCACTCAACTGGCGATGAATTTCAATTGGTGTCATACCACTCAAATGGAGAAAATGAATGATTACACGCTGTTCTTGTAATGAAAACATTGCCATTTTAAGTATCAAAAACAGTCTTCATTCTCGCTGCTGCCGCTAGAGTTCTGTGTGCCGTACAGTGCTACCATCTCTGTCATGCATTCACAACGAGTGCACACGTATTTTAAAACAGACCGCATGTTTCTATCTG